AGGTCTGAGGTTTGGATCTATCTGGTGGCTACAAAATCTCCCCTACTGACTGGCCATCACTTGGATCCCTAGATCTTGTGGTACTCCTAGTGTTTTGACAATTAAGCAAACCACAAGAAAAGGGATCTTTACTGGATGCCTAACTTATTTTCCACAGAACAAGAGCCACAAGACTACTAGTAAGTTAATTTTCTGCTTTTCAGGAAAAGACAAGTGTCAATAGGCAACCAGCAAGTATTTTCTGAAAGCTTAGGGGAAAACCTGGGCTTATTTGAAAAAAATAAAGAAAACTTTAAGGACAGATTAAAATTGGTGAGATCAAACATTCACTGTAAGCTTTGATTAGTACAGCACCTGGCATACACTGGCAGATAGCACTAACAGCAACAGAGGAGGCCATACATGCTCTGCAAACCTCCCATGAAAACAGGCAGCCACACCTTTCCTTTTACTCCTTCACAGTTACCTGTCAAAGTACTGATTAGACAAAATGATCTCCAGCCTTGTGTTATGAAACAGGCTTGTGTCAGGAGAGACAGCCAAATACCTCAACTGGAAATCAATCTTCTGAGCTCTCAAGCAGCGACTTCTTGAAATAATTTTTTAAAAGCAGCATTTTTTTTGGTTGCTTGCTATTTTTTGCTTTGTGAGATTTTTTTTTGGTTTTTTGATTAGAGCAGGTGAGAAGTACATCAAGATTAGAGAGAGTACAAAGAACTCTATAAATAGTTAAATTCCTGTCATACCCACCTCATACAGAAAATACAGTGAACAGATATGATCAACTTTCCCTCAACACATTATTTCCAACAGTTTTTGAAGGGTTATTATATGCATACAGTATAATGTTTATTATGCAACAGTAGCCAAACATTATTAAGCATTATTTCCTTTACCTGTAATAAGACTGGGTCACTCAGATTAGCAGAACTTCGATGAACCACTCCTGCCAGCACGCTGGTCAGATTGTAGGTGTCCTGGAGAGCTTCTCTGGTCTCTGTGTCTGAAGCTGGAATTTAGGAATTATTAGCAAAAACCCCATCTAATAGCAAAAGAAACAGTTGTATTAGCTACCAGCTGAAGCAGAAGCCAGTCTCTAACCAGTTCCTCATATATGTTTTAAAGGTAACCACAAATAAATGACAGCTCCCATGCACTTGCCTCTCTACCTCACTTCTGGACTTACAGTTACAACACTAATCCATTTCCTTAGGATGCTCGGACACTGAAAGAATAGTCTACCTCTTACCTACCAAGTTTCATTTCTGAGATCTTGAAACCTGCACTTCAAAGGCTTTGATCTTAAACTCAGTGAGCTCAGTTTCTTGCCTCATGCTATGGTGGAAAGGTAGACTCAAACTGATAAGTTGATAGGGTTATCTGGCATAATCCTATCAATAAATAGAATAAATAGAAGCCAGTTCTGCTTAGGCAATCCTCAAAGAGATACAGCAAAACAGGTAGAGCAAGAGCAACTTAATTCTTAAAATTTTCCAGACTGAACCCCAGCAACAATAATTTTACAGTAATTGTTCCAAAAACATAAAAGGAAGTCAGAGTGGCTTAAATTCCATGAATCAGAGAAGATTAACAAGGGAGCATCATAAAGGACTCAAATATTGAAAAACTACTCGTATATGATGAGAAACAAAGCAGTGATGGGATAACTTTTCTCTGTATATGTAGGTTGTGCTCTGAGCACAGAGCTCCCTGGACAATGAAGTCCAATTTCTAGTAACTAGAGGGGGGAAAAGACCCCAAAAAGGCATCTCAAAACACAAGCAAAAGGCAGCAGAACTTCTTTTGCAGTTGGGAAACCTGATGCACATAGGCCAGGCTATTGGAGAGCTCACACTGCCAGCAAACACTCCAGTGGGAGAGGTAAACTGAGGTGATGACAGTTGAGGATGTGACATGACTTCTCCCTAACCCTGCACACCCTAGCCAGGTTTCTCACTTGATAAAATAAAGGACAAGAGAATAATTCCTCACCCTACCCAGCGGATAAACAAATTCTGACAAAGCATGATCATTGTCATTCAAAGGGATGGCTTCAAATTTCCTTCTCACTGCAAAACTTCTTAACAGGTGGCTTAGCCAAGCACTCCACTACGATGAAAAATACTTTCTTTCACACCTTATGCTTCTTCCAAGACATTCATCACCCATGCCACAGAATCAGCATCTGTCTTATCTTCCCTTGCCCAGACAAAAGATAAAAAGTTCAGATGCAAACCTTACCTAGCTGTGATAGCAAAGTAACCACAGACAAGGCCAGAGAAGGTTTTATATTAGTGTCCTCCAGGAGCTCTACAAGGCAACTGACACATTCACTAGGGAGAATCTGGTTTGAGGCAAAAAAACGGGTAAGCTTCAGTCCAGCGATAACCTGGAGATGAAAGGAGAGAAACAATCTTACTTACTCAACTGCAACAATGTAACTGACACAGAAGTCCAAGAAGTCCAAGAGTTGTAGGAAATACATTTTGTCCTACTTGACAAAATGAGAATTTAAGTCGCATTCTAACAGGACATTTATGTTCACATCTGCTGGGGAAAAAAAACCCCAAAAACCAGGAGTAAAAGAAAAAAAAAATCTGTTAGTCATTCCTTTATGCATGGAAAGTACAAGTTTATTTATTTTGAAAGAAGAGCCCAACAGATGGCTCAATACAAACACGTAGCAATCAGCCTGCCTTGCGAAGGTGTGGACAGGGACCCAAAGGTGGCACTCCCCGGGGAGGAGCTGCAGCAGCAGTCAGTGCTTGTTTTGGGAGCACTCTGTGACTGGCCTGAAAAAATGGAACCTGACCTCCAGGAACCCGATAGAAGAAAAAGCCAAAAATTATACACCATCACACCAATACAGATAGCCACGGTTTCTATTTTACATAATGGAAACACATAATGTTGATTTTGTGTATTCCCTCTGTGTCTCTTAAAAGAGATATAGAGAAGAAAACAAAACAAGATACTAACTCGCATATAAACAATCTAGCAATCAAATAAATTTCAAATTTATAAATATACATAATAAATAAATAAATAAAAATCAAATTCTAGCAATCAAAATAAATGTGAATTTGAAACAGGTAACTCGGAGATTAATTCAAAGGCATAACACAAAGCTGGACCTGAAGATCAGGGAAATGCACTGGCCCACCTCCTAAGCAAAAAACACGTTTGAATACGTGTTGCACCGAACTGGAAAACTCCAGACACGAGACCAATTCGTCATTCACACGCTATTTTTTAAACTTTGAAATGATGCATGCGGGCCAGAATTTTGGGGATAAAGAAAAAAAAAAAGTCCCTTGTAACACATATAATCTGCTTGCCCCGGGTGCATATAAACTCACAACACAACTTTGTAAACACACCGTAAAACATTATGATAACGGACACCACAGCCACCCCCCGGCCCCGGGACCGGGTAGCCGCACCTACCTCCACACTGCGCTGCAGGAGAGCGGCGTTGTGCTCTGTCTTGGCAGCGCGGTACTCGGCGGCTGCGAGGAGCAGCGCCTTCATACAGCCCAGGGCGTCCATGGCGGCCCGGCCCCTCAGACGCTCCGCACTCGGCCCTCACTCGCATTT